TCTCAGCACATCTGTAATTGCATTACCATTAAATTGCACCATTTTCCAAAGGTGAGAGCCCAGGGCCCTTGTGCTGAGAATCTTCTGTAAATCCACTGCCAAGTTCTGCATGATGTGGAAGCCCCAGGCAGAGGGGAGAGGAGACCTAGTTTGATTTGACCACCATATTAATCCCTCCTTGTCTTCAGGATCTCTTGTTTTCCATTTTATTTCAAAGGTAAAACCTTCGAAACCCTGGAAACCATTATTTCCAACCTTCTCATCTCACAGATAAAGAAACTGAAGCTTAAAGAAAGGGAATTGCCCAAGGTCACACAGGCATGAGCCACTGAGTCTGCAGATGTCCCTCGCCCTGCAGCCTTCATGCAAGTTAGGACTATAGCAGGAAAAGGCGGGCAAAGGGCAAAAACAGGATCCAGACTTTTCAGGTTCCAGGAGGGATGGCCTTGATCAAATATGCAAGGATCTGTCATATCTAGTGGGAAGGATACAAAAAGGGTACATGGGTCAGAGGATAGCTCGGCCAGGGATACAGGGAACAGGATTCAGCCCCAAGGAGAGGACAGAGGTGGCGAAACCTGGATGGGGATTGGGCGCATTCATGCTCCAGACAGATGGGGCCAGTATCAGGGCAGGACTCTGATTCCAGCTGGGAGACACAACCAGGAAATCAAAGCAGAAGGTGGTACGTAAACCAAGGCACATAAATACAGGGGCTGGGAATGGGGCCCTCCCAGCTTGTGCCTGTAGAGGGAGAAGCCTTGATGCAGGGGAAGCAGGATGCATATGCTAGCCGGGCAGTGGATTCAAGTGGAGTCAGTTTGACTCAGAAGGGGAGTCAAACACACGCTATGGGTTGGATATCAAGAAGGGCTCCGGATAAAAGGCTATGAGAGAAAAGCAGATGAACGTAGGGAAGGGTCAGTACTGGCACAGAGCACCAAGCAGAAGAGCGCCAGGAGGCCAGGGAGGGTGTCACCTGGCACAGGGGTCCATTTCCTTAGGCTCTGCTCTGCTTGGTCGGCGCCCCGGCTCCTGCTTTTTAGGGAAAACAGATGCAGAATCATACACAGTCCAGGCTTGTTCTGTACTAAGGGATCACTCCCAGTGCCCACCTTCTGCTGTCCAGCCTGAGGACGTCTGGTAGGGTCTGGGAGCCCAGTGTTGCCCACTCCCTAGCCCCCTGCACCGATGGCAACAGGATCTGAAACAGGCAGGCTGGGCAGATACAAGTCCCGGGCACATCATTCCCAGCTCCAGGGCTGGGAGGCCAGCGAGCAAACAAACAGCCAGCCAGCAAATGTGTCCCCGTGCCCCGGGGTCAGCTTGCCACAGTGGCTACACCTGCTTTGGCAAAGCAGTCACTTTGAAGCCCAGCCTGATGCACAGAGTGTGCAGCACTCAGGGACAAAATTGGGGGGTTTAATGATGTGAAATAGCTCCGCGTGTAATCTGGGTGAGCTACAAGGGCTGCTGAGAGACTCTAAAAGCTTCCCAGGCCGGCCTGCCTCTGAGGCTGGCCCATTATGTTGTTTGCTGCCTTGTGATCAGGATGAAGCCAGCCCCTGCCAGCCCCAGTTCCATGCACACTGCTCCTGTCCCCCAACTCCAGGCACCCATGGGGCCCCCACCACGGGTCATCGGGCACAAGGTTGGCTGCCCCAGCAATTCTTAGATAAATCAATTAGGATAAATGAGCTTGGTGATGTATGATGCCCTTGCTCCACTGCGTGCCTTGTGAACTATTAGTTCTCCGGAGAAGATTAATTACGGGACTGCCATGCTAATGCTCTTTTAATGGAATCTGTTATTTAAGCTTAAGAGCAGGTATCGAATGTATGGGAGTTAGATACCTGTTATGTGCATCCCAAATCAGAAGCGATGGATGAAGCTAACCTCAGAGGGACCTGTTGAAACACAAGGAGAGCCAATAATCACTCTGAACCCTGCAGAAGGTTGCACCAAGTCCTGGAATGTTTTCCTGGAATTGATTGCATGTATTTGTGGAATTAACTTTTCACCCTACTTGGACAGGAACTCTTGTATTGGTAGACACAGCATGGAAAAATAGAAGGGCCGTCAAAGAAGCTGGGTGAGCTTAAATAAGCCATGGAGTGGGATGTAGACAGAAAAAAAAATATTTGGTTTAGGGTCATATTAACAGAGATATAACACCATGAGTAAAGGAGGTTTTGGTCTTGCCCTATACAGTCCAGTTCAGCAGATGGAGTCATGTGTCCCAAGTGACATTGACTAGTGACATGAAGTGGACAAAGGCTACAATGAGAGATCTGAAAATGAAATCCTATGAAGGCTGCAGGGAGCTCCTGAGAGATTAGGATGGGGGGAGGCAGTGGTTCTCAGCACTGGCTGCTTCTTTGAATCACATGGGGGAACCTTTAGAAAACACCGATGCCCAGATCTCCTCCCCAGAAATTCCGATTCAGTTGGTCAGAGGGGGATCCAGGCATTGGTATTTTTTAAAATCTTCTCAGCTGATTTTTTTTTTAATTTTTTATGTTTATTTACTTTTGAGAGACAGAGACGCAGAGTGCGAGCAGGGGAGAGGCAGAGAGAGAGGGGGGCACAGAACCCGAAGCAGGCTCCAGGCTCTGAGCTGTCAGCACAGAGGCGCCCCTCCTCAGCTGATCCTAATGTACAGCCAAGTTTGAGAACCACTGCTCTAAAGGATGTCGCAGGTAGGAGGGACGGCATTTACTGTCCATGGCTCCAGAGAACAGAGCACGTGTGAATGGATGGAAGTTTTTGTCCTGATGTGTTGGCATCCGGTGGTGGTGGGCTAGCTGAGGAGGAAAATAAAGTGGACCAAGGTCGAACTCCTCTAAAGAGGATGTTAGCAATTGACACACAGCAGGTAGGACAGGAGAACAATCAGAGGGGCCACACGGAGGCAGAAATAATTTGCCACCAATCACACATTTGTCTACCGAACCTCTGTAAAGAACCACACGGAGACGTCAACCTGGGGGTCCCGTGGGAGTTAGAGGTGGTGTGACAGGTTTCTCTGGGCGGAAGCAACACTCCAGAGCTCTATGGAAGGGTCAGAACATTATGGGCCAAAGGCAGCCTTGACCTAGTACATTCAGGACTCCAGCCAGTTGCCAGGGGAGCAAAGGCAGCGTGGTCCTGCCCCCACCCAGGACTGAAGCCAGAAACAGCAGGCACTCTGGGGGCCGTGGGGAGCCACGCCAGGCTAGGCCCTCCTTCGTCCCCAGAAGGGAGGAGACAGAACCTGGTACGTTTGGGAGCCCCGAGAAGTCGAGGCAGGGGGTGATACAGGATGCTGTTGGGGGGCGGGGGGTATAGGGCAGAGGCTGGAGCAGGAGCTCGGGGCTGTGTGGTGCTCGTTTGTCCAAGCCGGAGATCTGATGAGGCCTCAGTTTCATCCGCCAAATGGGAATGGCGACCTCTGAGCTGTCCCCCTGTCGTGGGGTGAGGGGATGTAAGAGGTTTAGGAATATTACAGACCCCAAATGGGGTAAAGTCACCTTGTGCCCTGAAACGAAGCATGGTCCCCTAACACCTCCCCCATACCACACGAATATGCACACGTACACACAGACACAGACATACGAACATGCTCATTTACACACAACCTACAAGCTCTGCCATGTTTATTTCCCTGCTGTCATTCCCAAGACTTTGGTAAAATCTTGTTTAAATATTCCAGCCCAAGCTCAACCAGGCCAAAGTCTTTCTGTGCTGGGGCCAGAATAGCAAATCAGGAGCGGGGGGGCCCCTTAAGGCGCACAGAAGGCGCACGATAAATATTTGGTGAAGGAAAGAATAAATGAGTGTATGAATGACCTTGCACGGTAATTGCAATCTTAACAATTCACACACATAGAACACTTTACAGGGAGCAATGAGCTTTAATACATTTTGTCTCAAATAATCCTGTGACAGATATTTATTATTCCCGCTTTACAGATGAGGCATCGGAAGCTCAGAGAGTTTAAGTCACTTTCCCAAAGATACACAGCTAGTAAATGGAAGGGAAAGCTATAGAACAGAGACGTAAGTGAGGCTTGCACTTGTAACATGTCAAGAATTGTTTAGGGCCCCAGTGTCTGGAAGCTCCCCTAAGCTCCCCCTTCACCAACTCCCTTCCCTTTCTATCCCATTACCCTTCTTTTCTCCAGAGCACTTCTAACTACCGGACTGTAGTTACTAGTATATTCCTTTGTTACAATCTCTCTCCCGCCAGTAAGTAAGCTCAGGAGGGCGGGACTGTCCCTTCTGTTCACCACCACATGACCAGTGCCTAGCCCACAAACGTCCCACTGAGAAGCAATTCGCGTCTGGCTCGAGGGACTGCTGTGGTGGGGCCTGATGGGGGGCTGGGAGGGTGGGGATATTCCTGGTGACACAGCTGACTCCCGTGCCCTCCTTTGCAAAGGTTCAGTAAACAAATGTGAGGCTGGTTACAAATTATTTCTGCCATCTTTCACACAATGGAGTTAACAGCTGGCTGAGCTACAATATATCAATTGTATAAATTTCGAGGGCATTTTCATGTTTCAATCTCCTTATGTATTTCAACCTGACCAAACTTGTTCAGATTGCCATTAACTGCCAATCCCATCACCTGGCTCACTGGGCAGGAAGGCAGTGGCTTGGGTTTAACTCCTCAAGGGCCATGGAGGGGGAGAGCAGAGAGGGGAGAGGGGAGAGGGGAGAGGGGAGAGGGGAGAGGGGAGAGGTCTGGGGCTATCCAGGCAGAGAGAAGGGGCTGCTGTTAAAAGTTACTCAGTTGCTTTTTTTTTTCAACGTTTATTTTTATTTTTGGGACAGAGAGAGACAGAGCATGAACGGGGGAGGGGCAGAGAGAGAGGGAGACTCAGACTCGGAAACAGGCTCCAGGCTCTGAGCCATCAGCCCAGAGCCTGACGCGGGGCTCGAACTCACGGACCGCAAGATCGTGACCTGGCTGAAGTCGGACGCTTAACCGACTGCGCCACCCAGGCGCCCCACAGTTGCTTTAATCTATAGACCTCATTCCTCATTTTCCTCCGGGGCCTCTGACCACCTTTCATCCAAATCTATATCTGGTCAGATCCTTCTCCCTTGGGACCTTAAAGCCATTTCCTGCTACACTTCCACCCAAACCAATGGCTGATAGAACCTCGCCTTAAATATAGTCCCACTTCAAATTCAAAAGCATGTGGTAGACACAGAGAAGGAGAGATGTTGAGAAAGTGGGGGCTCTGTTTGGAAAAGCTATAATCCGATGGAAGTAGGAGAGGAGGGGAACATTCAGGGCATTTTAGACCTGGCACAAAAACGTACTCATCACTCTATTCCTAGTACCTGGCACAGAGGCTGGCGCATCGCTGAGACTAAACAATGCCTCCTGAATAAATGGATGAACGAATATAACACAAAGACCATGCATGGGCTTAGAACCAGAGAACCAAATCCTGGTTCCACCGTGTTGTGATCTTGGACCAATCACCTGAGTGGTGGTTCCCTCATCTTTAACGAGCAGAGCACTCAGAGTGGGAAGGTGTCACAGGACCCCCTCCTCCGATTTCCCAGAGGGAGAGAAAATCCTGTATCTGTCAGCAACACGCCAGCACTGCCAAAAGGACATAAAGGAACTACAGAAATTGTGAAACAGAAGTCACAGTCCTATTTATTTTGTAACAATGCAAACTTCACAATTTGTAACTTCCAGATTAAATATATGTGTGTGTGTGTATGTGTATATATATGTGTGTGTATATGTGTGTGTGTATATATAACCCTTCCGCTGCTATATCTCAGAAATCTGTAAACCTCAAACGTTGTAGTCCCACCACCGCCAAGGTCTATGAGATAGACGACGCTAGTGGGGTGTTTGTGACCGTCAGCCCAGCCAGGGGTGGTGCTCCCTTCCCTGCAAACAAGGAGGGGACATTCAAGGAAGTACAGTTCACAGCTGACTGGGGGAAAGCTTCCTGGAGCACTGGGGCGAGCCCAGGGATACACAGGATTTGACTGCGTGGAGATGGGGTGGGTTGTTGGGCTCTGTCCTATCTCAGCCTCAGCCCAGAACGGCTTTGAGAATAACAACAACAAAATAACAATAATCACTGTATTGAGCAGATCCTGAGTGCCAGGTGCCACGCTGATTACATACGTGCAGACTCTCATTTACTCTTTATGACGTTCCCCCAAAATAGACATTATTGTATTCTGAGATGGATCCCAATGATCCCCATCTCCTGGTAGTCACATAATAACACCTTGTGTAACAATCCCTTCACCTTGAGTGTGGGCTGGTGAGTTGCTTCTCATGAGTAATAACAGAATAGGGCAAAGGTGATGGCCTCGTGCTTCTGGGACTGGGTTATAAAAGACTGTGACTTCATTTGCCCTCTCTCTCTCTCTCTGGCAATTAGTCACGAAGCAAGCTGGAAAGGCCCATGTGGCAAGAAACCGAGGGCAGCCTGCAGCCAACCACCAGTGGGGAACTGAGACCCTCAGTCTGACAGCCCTGGAGGAATCGAACGCTGCCAGCATCCTGCGCATGGGTTAGGAAGTGGGCCCTTCCCCAGCACAGCCTTCGGATGAAACTACAGCCCATGACATTGACGAGAAACTGCAGCCCGTTCACTGTAACAGACCCCGAGCAGAGGACTCAGCTAAGCCACTCCTGGATACCTGACCCCCCAAATCTGCAAGACAATAAATATATATGGTTTTCAGCTACTAAATTGGGGGGGGGGGCGGGGAGTGGTATTTGTTATGCAGCAATAGACAACTAATAACATTATTATTCCCATTGTATGGAAGAGGAAACCAAGGCTCAGAGAAATCACTAAGCTTGCCTGGGCCGTCCAGGGAGTAAGTAGAGGAGTCCAGATGAGAACCAAAATTTATCTGACCTTGAAGTCTGCATTCTTGCCCACCACACACTCCTGCCTCCTCTCTGGGGCCGGATACCCCAGAAGCTAATTGGCCTTCCCGTCACACATCCTGAGGCTCTATCATCAGCCCCTTGATGTACCTGTTCATGGCTCCCCTGCTCAGAGATTTGGCTTTATTGGGTTTTGAGGCTTCTGTCACTTCTTGGTGAGAGCCAGTTGATGTACATGGATCCATGACTTCTGGTGCCACCTCAGATGTACACACCAACCTTGTGCCCTGCCTGGAGAAGGTGATGGGTATACAAGAGACAGTGGCAAGGAGGGGAGGGAGGGAGGCGGTGGCAAGGAGGCGGGAGGGCCGATGGACACATCCTTTGTAAAGCACCCCTAGCGCTTCCCTCAGCACCCCCAAGCAGCATTCCTGAGCATTCCCTTGTGCCCACTCCACCCACCTTCCGGCTCTAAACAGCTTTGCCATAAGCAGCTTTGTCGCACTCATTTTTGCCATATTTTCACCGCATAACTAATTGGCCATAAGGCAATTTTGCCATCGCAGGTAACACCACAAAAAAAAAATAAGAGGGATGTTCCTTAAAAAGGACAGGATGACACATGAAAAGTGAATACCAAAGTAAAAAAAAAAAAAAAAACTATTGCAAAATGCAAAGTATTTGAATACATTTAAAATACGTGCAGATCAAAAAAAAATAAAAAATAAAAAATAAAATAAAATATGTACAAATCCATAGCAATGCGGTGCGAATAGCTGGTTTTATTTGGAGGATTGTACCTTCACACTTGTCTTCGGTGTCTTTGGGTCGGAGTATTGCACGCGTCTCTTTGCCTGTGGGTTCATCGTTCTGTGCAGCGTCACACGCCTTCCATTCTCCCTAAAATTTCTTCCTTCCTAAGAGAAAAACCCGTTTCCAAAAACTAGGATGCGTGTTTGCAAATGAGGTTCGCATTGCAACATGAAAGCCTTCTGCGCTATCGTTTGTTCTTGGGCTTTGTCGCACGTCCCTTGATAGATGTTCCAAAGCTGTCTGGCAGATGTGAGTTCAAACTCTGCACCACAATCCAGACGATCATGAGGGCTGAGATCTCTGTGGTATAAACATGGGGGGACTGGGTCCGCGGAGAAATGAAAACAAACTGTCAAATCAAACCGTCAACCAGTTATCTTCTCATCCTTTTAGGGCAAAATTGCCTTACACACAATTACTTACGGGGCAAAAAAAAAAAAAAAAACGCTAGCAGCGGGGACACTGAAGGCGGAAGTGCTGGACACGCCCCCTTCCTGACCCCACCCTTGCCAGCAGTCGCTCAGGGACCCGCAAAGCCACCTGAGTCCCCAAGGCTACCTCACCCACGCCAGATTGCCGAAGGTCTGAGCGAGCCAGGACCGCATCTGCCCTGCTCACGGCTCTTCCCCGGAGCCCAGCACAGGCCTCGCCAGAGCAGGTGGACTCACTGACATCCCAGGCGGTCCAGAACCCAGGGAGCTGGCGTCAGCCGGATGTGGTTCCGATCCCTGCTCTGTGTGACCCTGCGCCACCTCTTCAGCCTCAGTCTTCTCATCTGCAGAACGGAACCGGCGACAAAAATAACGAAGCTCGTAATCTAGTACCTGGCACTGTTCAACGCTTCACAGGTGTTACCCATTAACACGCTTACCATGATTATTTCCTTAGTTGCAAAATCGGCAGAGCCGTGTATCGCGCAGAACTATTCGTTGGTGTAAACCATGCCGTTGGCGCATAGACCGCGAAGAAAGAAAAATGCTCGCCCTTATGACCCACCCCCCGCCCCCGATCAGCACGCGCTTCCGGCTTCTAAGACTGTATCTTAGAATCAATGAAATGCACAGTGTCCACGTCACAGAGCTGTTGTGGGACGGAATGGGGTAATAGCGCGGTGCTCAATAAATGTTTATGGAACGGGCGGAGGCCAGGCTCCCATCCAGTGCTCTTTCCACTCTGCAGCCGCTGTCCACTCTGCTCTCGCTGCGGCACCCACAGCACAGCAGGACTGACCGGCAGGGAGGTGGCCTCCGTGAGCCCTCCTACTGCACAATCTCTCGGCTCTAAGACCCAGTCTTTCATGCAGCCGAGGGCAGCCGGCCCTGACTGCCCTGAGAGTCCTCCTGTTCTGCAGCTGTGGCCACAGGCAGCAGCCTGGGAGCCAGCCCACAGCCCTGTGGGACAGCACTCAGCACTCCCGAGATAGCCCCCTCTGTGCCTCAGTTTCCCTCTACACAGCATGGGGCTGATGACTCCTGCTTCTTGAAAGCTGCAATGAGAAGCCCTCAAGACAATGTCTGTGACGCTCTCACCTTGCTCAGATGCCAGGAGCTTGTCCCACCAGAATGAAGTGCCCCAGACCTCTCTGCTGCCCACTTGAGCTCCATCCAAGCCTGAGAAAGTTCAGCAACTTGTCCCTCCCTATCAGGTCAGTCAACCTCCCAAAGCTAGGGTCTACTGGGGCTCAGGGCCCAGAAAGGGGACTTTGGGCAGAGCCCCTCCCTAAAGGCCACCTGAGGCTAGGATCGCACAGGCCCCTCTTGATGCTTCCTTAGGAAGTTCTTCCCAACATCCGCCTTCTGTCCCTTCAGTAGCAGGAGCCCAGACTGCAGGTTGAGCAAGCCTAGTGAAAAAAGCAGCTGGATCATCCTCCAGGCCTCAGACATCAGGGTTGGGGGGGGGGGGGGGAGACGGGGAGTGACGGGGGGAGGGGATAGATCATGGCAGCCCAGCCTCGAGTTTATAGCTATGCCTCCCTCGGGCAGGACAGGCATTCATAAAACTCAATAACGTGTCCAATTTTCAGAAATATGAGTTCAGGCTTCTCTATGTCTTTCTCCCAACCACCTCTGTCTAGGAGCGCCTGTCCCTCCCCTGCCACCTCCGGCCAGGACTGAGATCACCTGGTACAGGGGCCATGGAGGCAGGGTGAGCCCGGGCACCCCCACCCCCAGCCCAGAAATTCTGGCTCACCGAGGACCAGCCTGCCACAGCTGCTTGGAAATAACAGTCCCCCTCTCTCAGTTATGATGAGCTCCTTATCTCTCTGTGCAAATTAGGAGCACTTCATGGTAATCCAGCCCGCTCCCGCCTCAGCAGACTCTCCAAAATAAAAAAGCTGAAACTGACTCATCAAACATTTAAGCTCCCCCACCGCCCCATCCCCCCAGCAGTCACGCCTATGAGGAGACAGTGATGCTGCCTGTCCCCCTCTTCCTTGATTCTCCTCCCCAGCCTGAGCCCTTCCCCGGGATCCAGGTGTCCAAGAGTCGGTGGTCAGCCTCCCCATGGGTCATACGGGGGCCCGTCCCTGAGCCCCGCTCACACCCTACAGAATGCACCAATAATAACACCCACCATTTACGGAGCCCTCAGGACCAGCCAAGCCAGGCACCAGGCCAAGTGCTTTGCGCGAGCAGCCTCAGCCAAGACTTAGGACAGCCTTGCGAGGTAGGGGTACTAGCCCCATTTTTCAGATGAAGGGCAATGACGTGTGGTGCTTTGGCCAAGGCTGCAGTGCTGGCAGGTGGTGGGAATGAACTACAGCTCCAACGCTACCTAAACCACCCTGCTAACTGCACCCCCGCCCACCGCGCGCGCCCCCGGGGGTTGTCAGAGCTTTGTGTCCCGATGCAGCTGTACACACGCACTCCCAGAACACGTCCACTACCACACTCATGTACCCAGGACTTGACGTTAGATTTTTTTTCCCCTCAAAGTGGATCCAAAAAGGAATGTGAGGTGGGCTGCAAACCAGGGGCCCAGACTATTAAAGGGGAAAATCAATTTGTAATGGAGGGAGCCGTGATCTCCCCGAGATGCCTGGGACGGCGCGCCAGCTGAGCGAGCGAGCGAGGCACCTGCCTCCAACCCAAGGAGGAGCACCCGCAGGCCTCCACTGCTCCCCGCTCGCCTGGGAGGCAGGACCCGCGCAGCCCCGGTCGGTTCCAGATTGCTGCTGCCAACAGGTACTCGCTTCCGCTTCCTGCTTCCCAGTGGGGGCTCCCTTGCAGGCACAGAATTCCAAATGCCGCAGAAATAAATATTTTAAAGCTCTGTGGCCTGAGTCACCGGAGTTTGGTGGCAGCTAAGGCTCTGCAGCTGGCCCTGCCCACGGACCTGTTTAGCACACAATTAGGATGCAAACTAACATCCCTCAAAAGCTCCCCTCCGGGCCTCTTTGCTTCTCCCTTCAAGGCCCCAGTGGATTAAGAAGATTCAGGAACAGTGGGGAGGCGTTTCTCCCACCATCCTTATTGGAACAAGTCGCCGGCTGGGTTTCCGGGCTTGGCTCAGAGCCCTGCCTGGGGTTGGCACGCTAGCCCTCAGCTGCCCCCTCCTTCCGGCTCTCTGCAAACTTGCCCCACACCACAGCACACTCAAGTCTGAAAAAGCAAACCAGACTGCATCTTTATTTAGAACCCTTCAGTGATGGCCCGTGGGCCTTAGTTTACAATCCAACCAGTGACAGTGGCCTCCAAGCCAGACTACTTGACTGGCCCCTCTTGAATCTGATCTCCGCTCCCTTCACTCACCCTCTCCAACCACTTGGGCCTTTTTTCAATTCCCCAAAACAAGCCAAACTTTTTCCTGCCTCGGGCCCTTTGCACTCTCTGTTCCACTTTCTCCTGATCTGTATATGCTGGCACCTATTTAACCTTAAATATCACCCCTTCAAAGAAGCACTCACTGGGTGCCAGGCACTGCACCAAGTACTTTGTAACAACCTAAGGGTGGGGAAACTGAGGCATGGAGCTCAGCAAAGGCCACACAGTGACAGGGTATTCTAGCTTCAGAGTCTGGGTCCTTATCCATTGTGCCACACTGTCTCTGACTAAAATGGCTTCCTTTCCCCATCTCCCTCCTTGGCATCTTCCCTTCTATCTTTATGTAGTTATCTTATCAGTCACTCCAATTGAATGTCATCAGTTCCTGAATACAGAAGTTTCTTCTACCTTATTCTCCCCTGTTTCCCCAGAACTCACAGCAGTGCCTGGTCAGGGTAGGTGCTCAGTACATACCTATTGGATGGATGGATGGATGGATGGATGGATG